ATGAAACATTGGGCAGTGTGTTTCTGCCTTTATAGATATTTTCTTGTCTTTATACACACAAATAATTTTATCGTACAAGTTTTAACACTACATTGATTGCGTTGAATTAAAAGTACCTAGTGTATGTAATATGAGAGGTCATAGTGGTTGACAAATGTCTAAATAAAAATAAACATACAATCAGCATCAGATATATATAAGCACAATATAATATATCTATATATATATATATAGAATTTTCTGTTCACTAGATGTCGCTAGTTGACACTGAGGTAAAGTTTTTTGTTACACGATGTTATTTAATTGAGAAGTTAGGTCTTAATAAAAGTTTATTAGTTTCTAGAGTATTATATTAATACACAAAACAATGCCTCAGTGGTTTGTTCTTTAATTTTTTACACATTTTTAATATTTTTTAATTTTTCTACTTTTTAAATATCTGTGGTTTGGTTTATTTATTTTTAATCTTATTAATATAAAATATAGCTAATAGTACAGAAAGAAACATTAAACTTTAAATTTTCCGAATAAATTAACTTCCCCGCTATGAAATATGTCAAATATTATATACCTCACATTTAAGTGGCGCCGCCCTGGTGGCAGAAAAATTCGTGGATATTCGGCCCTAAATCGTACTTATATATTATTATTAATTACTATAAAGTAACAAGAACGGAAAAGATGTAAATCTACTATAAAAGTTATATAAAAGGTGATACATAATAATATGAACTGCAATTATACAGTAATAGTGTTTTATTATTAACAAAATTATATAAATCATACAATATAAAATTTAGGGCTTTTCTTAAACAACAATTTATTTTTATTTAAGAAAAACTACAAAATTTTTCTAGAATGTTTTAATTCAAGCTATTTATAATTCAATTAAAAACAATCATAGCCATTCATAATAAAGACAGTTCTGATTTTAAAGCAAAAACCTTTTCATTACTGGCAAATTAAAAATTTTAAAACCCTACTTTAAATTAAAATTCCTGCCAATATTGGAACCGTGTACGGGCGAAAAAATTGTGTATGTATTTGAACGCATTTTAAAAGTTGTGAGATGGTAAACATTATTACATTTATTATTAAATAATAAAAATTAGAACATATTTACTTCCTAAATATACTGTAAAATCTAATTTTAATGGTTATGTATAACTAAATCAATTATTATGTATATTACCGTACAAATCATAAGGAGTGATCCTATAGTAAACACATTTCTTTGAGGGACTCGCGCAGAATTTCCGCGCCTGCAGAAGCATAACTGCGATAATTAACTTACAATTTAAAACTGTGACGCAAGACTAGATCTGGTTGAGATAAACAAAAGAATGGTTGAAATAAGGTGTAACGCACATTAGCTACGATGACAGCGTGAGTCTCAGGCAATAAATAACTATTTAATAGTCAATTCGCATAATTATATACAGTTGCGAAATTGTATGAATACAAATGAACAGGTGAGTGGTAACTGAAGATTGATGTGTTGTGATTAAAAATCTGAAACAAAAAAAGTAAAAAAGTTAAGATTATGTACAACCAAGAAAATTAACAAATACCTTCACCAAATTCAAAGGCAACTAATTGGCACAGACAAATATTAATTGTGTTTTTCATATTCTTTAAGTCCTGCAAAGTTCAATTTATTAAAGAAATTTTTTGGGTATTTTTAACTAATACTTAAGTAATCATAAAGAATATCTTATGTATTATATTATGTACCTACTGATTCTAAAGAGTTGGAAGAATAATATAATTACAACCCGACAGCTAATAATACATCTTCTATTTGTTTAAGTTGTTAGATTAAAATAAAATTATAATGAAAGCTAGAATAGAATATAACTAAAGCTATCAAAGGGTTAACACAAACGAAAACCACAAACCCATATAAAATAATATTTACCTTAGACAATCTGCATTTTACAATTAAATAAAAAGCAAAAATGAAAGCCATTATCTTTAAATTCTACTTTATTTTGCACTTTTTTATAAAAATAAAATATAGGTACATACAGTAAATTAAATAACTATAAACTTTACAGGCCACCACAAATGTGTAAAGGCGCCATCTGTTAGTACAATAAATTTTCAGAATATTTGCTTATAACCAACAACAGATGGCACTTACATTCATTGTTTAAGATAGTAATGTGTAAATTAATAATATTATATAACTACTGTTAGTTAAGCGTCTACAAGCTTATAAATATTTATACATTTAAATTTAATTTATTACTAAAGGACTGGCATAATTAAGTTGTAACTTGAAGGTATCTACTCTACTCCCAATTACTACTGCGCCTAGATTGGTAGAAAAGTTAGAAACTAAATATTTAATTTTTAGCTTTTCTACCAAAGTGGTAATTTGTGTTACTACGAACAATCATTGACGAATACGCCTTAATATGGTTTTCTCTTAGTCTAATTTTAAATGTTTTTATATTTGTAACAAAAATATACCACATTATTTTATAAACTATATGCTACAATTATTATACATCAAAATAATTGATAAAAGGTTGAGAACTTTCTGGGTTTTATATAGCGATGCATTTTCATTTAACGATGGCTTATAATCTTCCGCTCACCAGATGTCGCTAGTTGGGACGGAGATGAAGTTATTTGTCATAAATGCAAAGCTGCATATAAAATAAAAGATACATACATAAAACAATGAATTAAGTTCTAGAAATATGCGTAGTTTTGTTTATCTATTTTTAATCTAATTAATATAAAATATAACGAATACTTCAGAAAGAGACAGTAACCATGATATCTCAAATATTTCACCTCATTCCTAATTAGCGCCGCATTGAGGGAAGAAAAAGCTGTGAAAGTCCTCATTGCTTTATGCGATTGTTTTTGCATACATATACACATAGCTATTTCACTACTAATAAAAAAAACATATTTGAGCAATAATTAAAGCTAAAAGATATTATATTTATTGAAATATACATTTCAAATTTTAAATTGTTAGACCATTTCATCTTTTCTACCGACTTCAAAAAGGAGGAGGTACTGAATTCGACTGTATGTTCTTTTTTTGTGTGTTAACTTATAACTTTTTTCTAAGTTTTTTTTTTTTATAGGATCGGGTGACAAACGAGCACACAGTCCACCTGATGGTAAGTGATTGCTGTGACCCATAGACATCTACATCTATCCTCAATAAAGACTCAAGATGCAGATGCGTTGTCACCCGTGAGGACTAAGATGGAATGCCTCTTTGCCAGTAAAAAGGGTCTTTAAGTGAACCGATTTCGATGATTCTTTTTTTATTTGAAAGTTGGTGCTTCTCATGTGGTCCCATATAAATTTGATCAAGGTCTTTAACTTGTATTGAAGTCGGTTGTACAAAATTTTAAATTATTGTTATTAAACTGGAGTGACAAAGAACCTTACGGTCCTGCTGCAGTATGGACGGACACCTGCAAACAGTGGCACACCTGGAGGCTAAGACGGAATGCCTTTCAATCCGTAATTATACTGACTCCCTATATACTTGAGTCGAGAACACAGTACTACTATTTGGTGACAGAAATAGTTAAGAGGATGGTATGCGAATATTCTTGCAATTCACAAGTGTGGTCGGCCTTTGGACGTGGTTCGATATGAACGTGCGCAGTGTGACAGTGTGCGTGCCTGGAGGGGCGGCCAGGCGCGAGCGGCGCCTGAATATACTTATTTATACTCTGTGGCCAGCGGACGTCCCACAGAGTACATCATGTCGAACCACATCCAAAGGTCGACCGCACTCGTGAATTATAAGAACTATATCTACTTAGATGGATTTTTAGGCAGAAAAGTAATACTAATACCTAGTTAAAAATTTAACTTTCAATGCATTATTCTTAGGTATCTTTTTTTTTACAATAGACACTGTTATTACCTACGAAATTTTTCCTGCAGGTATCGCGGAGGCAAACATTAATTGATATCTAAATGCGGAACAGTAATTTGAAGACTATACAAACATTTGCAACGTGCGGAAACTGAATCCGTGTCCCTTTGTCCCTTTGGCCTGCGCCGAGTAGTGAACTGTTTGATATTAGTGAAATAATTAACAATATATTAGACTAGCGTTCCGCCCCGGCTTTGCACGGATGATTTTTGGATTTCGACAACGGAAGCGCCACCTAACGGGTCCAATAGTGAATCTTAACTGTACAGGGACCCACTCAAACACACACAAAATATTTCATCAGAATCGGTCAAGTCAGTTTCGAGTTCGAGACTAACGAACGCCAACCGATTTTTATATATAGAAGATTTGTTATGAGTGTTATTCTTTTATGTAAGTTTTCAACAGTGGTAGAACCACGCGGCAGCTTTTGCTGTCGCACGGATGGGCCGGCTCCAACCGGGGTGGTACCACGACCTCACAGAATACCAGCGTGAAGTAGAGGTTTACCTCTGCGTTTCGCTTGGTGAGTGCAGGTGGCCGGAGGCCCTTTTTACTGGAAATGAGGCATTCCATCTTAGTCCTCACGGGTGGCAACGCATCTGCATTTTGATTCGCAAACGAGGATAGATGTAGATGTCTATGGGCCGCAGCAACCACTTACCATCAGGTGGACTGTGTGCTCGTTTGTCACCCTTATCCTATAAAAAAAAAAAAGTACCTAATAATTTTTTTTTTCTATATTATATGGTAAATCGCACTGTCTTAGAGTAACGTATCTCGTGAACTATTGATAGAGGTAGGTATTTAAAATACGATAAAATGGTTTTAACTTTGGTTCTATTATCTATTGTATGTCTACTTCGCTTTACCTGCCTACATTACATTAGTTTGGAGTAGATTTTGGTACAGTTAGTGGCACGGATTGACAACACTGACCTTAACATGCCTTGCAAACGATTTGAAGTCTGTTTGTTGGTAAGTTTTGTAGAAATACTATACGAATTCAAAGTAAACGATTGTGTCATTGGTTAAATTAATATGCTCAATCTAGCCGTGATAGGTGGTGTGTGGACGAGGTTCAGTCTCTCGTGGGCACGTAGACGCGCACGATCTCACCTTCGTGCTTGCGCTGCGACGGCATGAAGTAGAAGTCCGGCTGCGCGCCGCCCTCCCCCTCCCCCTCCCGCGCACCGCGACCTCCCCGCGCCCCGCTCGCACCGCGCATACCCGCTGGACCTCGCGGCAACGAGTACGCTGCTCTGTCCCTCTCGCTCAATCCGTATGAACTGAAAAAAGAATAACAATGACTCGAAGGACCAACACTAGTGGGTACAAAAGGTTTTCTAATTGCGATCACTAAAAAGGACAATAGATATTTTTATATATTATGTTAAAAAGAGTTTCCGTAAAATAAATACAGTTTAGTGACGGCATAACAGAATCTTTAAGTTATTTTATCACGATGAAGGTTTCACCTTGATTGTAGCAGTGACGTGTACGGACAGGCGCGTTTGTGTGTGTAACTGTGATTCATTCGACTCGCGCTCGCGACTGAGCGCTCCCGCCTACGCACACTAACACGATGTGTATGTGCACGGCTAACACAACCAAAGTCAAACCTTCATCGTGAAATAGAAGAACTATTTTCGATATCATTCTGTAGGTGTCGTATCGACAGAGGAAAACTTAAAGAGGAGATGACAGGAATATCTTTCTAAGAACAGAACAGGATTATAAAGACTGCGTTTGCCAATCCAGGTGGGTTGCCACCAGTGCGGCGTCGCTTAGGTTAGTGTAATGTATGAAGTATATGTGAAATAATGAGAACAAAACAGAATTAAAAACACTGCGGTTGCCAACAAAAAGTAGTAAGAGACTTATATCCAGCAGTGCACTTTAGATTGGATGCAATGATGATGGTGAAATACAGTGCAAGCCACGGTATGTATTTTTTAAAAAACAATTTTTAAAAAACAATGAAATCTATACTAATTAAATATAAAAAGGTATGGTAGTGGTAGCCATTCAACGAGGAAACATTATTTTACGTAACTTGTTAACGTAACGTAGTTACCCGGCGCGTAGCTGCCACAGTAGAATTAGTTGTGGAAATATAATTTTAAATTTTGAAGAGTTATATTATTTAATTAGGAATGCTAATACATTCATTGAAAAGGAATGATGCCGACTAATTTATTTGAAAGTTATGTTCAAATAAATTGTCGGTAAAATATACGCGCCACCTAGTGTAAGTTAATTGCACTATGCCTATAACCTTCGCACAAGTGCAAGCAAAGTTGACAAAGTTATACCGCAATCTCATAAACGGTATGGCAGCGCATAAAATACGAACAAACAAATATTATTTTTATATGTGGGGTACATCATTGCAATATCATAAATATTCATATAAAATTGACATCATAACTTAGATTTAATATTTTAATTTCGATGTGTATTTATGAAGTGTGATATGGACTAGTTCCGAAATGAATGATATTTTTTTTAATTTAATTTAAATACATCATTGCAGCCAATGTAAAGTCCACTGCTGAATATAAACCTTCTAAAATAGACTCATTGGTCATTGTCATAGTTTCCACGCTTAGCAGACGGAATGATAAATGCAGTTATATTAATAACAAAAAAAATAACTTTTAACAAAAAGAAAAACCGATTTCGAATTGCAAAAAAAGAAATTATTTATTTGCTAAATGCTGTGAATTTTTTTTTGCAAATTTATATAGGACCACCCTTGAAGTATAACCTATTTAATAAAATAAGAATCATCAAAATTGGTTTACAATCTGTTAAGATATCGCATAACATACATACAAAAAAAAACACACTCGAATTGAGAGCCTTATTTTTGAAGTCGGTCAAAAATGTAAGAACCGATTTTTCAATCTTTTCTTTCAAATAAAAGTTATTCATAGCATAATGTACAATATAAACAAATTAAAATTTATAGTTGTTTAAGTAAAATAAATAAAATTGTTTCACTTTTATATTCTGTTAGTTTATAATTTATTTGATATTTAAGATTTCAAAAACTAATTTGCTAAGATACACGTATTAAAACAAAATGATGTGTCTTACGTAGTTTGAAGGGCACCCGCCCTCTCTTAATTGGATGCACTATCCCCAGCACCACTACTTCCAACACCACTACACTAGGAAAGACACACCACCGTCGATAATGCGACACGTGTTTCGCCTCTACACGAGGCATCCTCAGGTGAAGTAGACTTTGCGGTGGCTGACCGCTATGCTAACCGCTAAGCGGTCGCTGACCGTAGTAGTGGTGGTGGGATTAGTGGTGACGGGGATAGTGTACGCAATTGAGGGAGGTCGGGAGGTGTCCTAACTAGGTAAGACGACATTTTATTTTACTACGCGGATGTCAGCAAATTAATTTTTAAAATATTTAATGTAATGGATTTCCGCAAAGTAACTCCTGATGCTATAAATTATTTATTTGATAGAAGACAAATAAAACAATATTCATATATTAGCTTCTAAAATCGGTGCTAAGACAATGCAAGAATCAAATTCCCTTACTTTAGAAGTTCTCAGTTATGTGAAGCAGGCTCTTACTTCTTATTAAAAGTTATTTTTTTGACCCATTTGAGTAGACTAAGGAATATAACAAGCTCAAGTTAAAGTTAGATTGCTAGATAAGTTAGAAACTAAATATTTAAGTTTAATTCGTGTTACTAAAAACAATGATTGACTAATACGTTTTAATGTTTTTTTTTTTTTTATAAAATAATTTAATTTTCCTCTTCATGGATAATATCTTATAATATTTTAGAAGCGAAAATGTAAGTGATGTAATATTTCAAAATAAAATGTAAAAAAGGAGTATTTATGCGACCGTGACAGGACTCGAACCTGCAATCTTCGGATCCGAAGTCCGACGCCTTATCCATTAGGCCACACGGTCTTGTATAACATTGCTCAAATTTATCATAAGTTGGTAATAAAACTAAAATTTTACATTGCACATATTGATTTTTTCGTCAAATGAGAAATCTAGGTCAAATTTCTTAAACCTACAATTTTACTCAGATAAAGAAAACATTATATTCTTTTAAAGATGTTTTTTTATTAAACTAGAATTTAAATTAAGCTATTCAATTACAATTGAATAAAATAATATTAATACAGTAATTACTAACAAGAAAAATTAATAGATTATCCATTACCTGTCCACTACAGCCTATAAAAGTCCACTGTTTAACAAGGTCACCCCCAAAGAGGGTCGCTTCCAATCCGGCAAAGAGGCTTAATCAGCCAATTGCCAGTCCCCAAAGAACATGAACCTAACTACAGTTGTTCGATGCAATCGACACCACAAATCGGTCTGAAACTTGTCTTCTCAACTTTTCCACCGTTACAACAGCGATCTGTTGTATGTTGATAAATAGTTCATAAGGTACATTTCAAATGTATATTATAAAATGTAAGCAATGTATACAAAATGTACACAATAGTACATGGTAGAATTAAAAAAAAGTGAAATGAGTTGTAGATTTTGTTAACACTTGGAAATGACATTAGATATATTTGAAAAATTTGGTTAGATTTGGTAAATTTTGAATATATTTCTTTTATGAGGTTATTGTTAGCATATTGTTCTAAATTCTAAATGTTTTTTGTATTTAATTGTACATAATATTATATTCTAAAGAATTGTTTAAAAAAAAGTTTTGTTGGGTTTTTTGTTGGTACTTTCCGGGACAGATGTTTTTTTTTCGAACCAACAGTAATACTTAAATGACTTTTGATAAGTGTTTTTGTAATTTATGTTAAATAAAAAATATTCTATCTTATATTAGTAACTATTAGCTTCTATGTTACCAGTTTGCAGTTTTTACCAGTTTTGATTGATCTCACACAACTTTCGAATGAGATGTTTCATTCTTAAATTTAAAAATATTAAAGTCGCCGAATGAAAAGGTGTGTTAATCTTTAAAAGATAGAATAGATTTTCTTGAATACAGCTAAGAACACTTTCGGTAAAGATTAAAAGCAAAAAAAAAAAACTTATTAAAATCGGTTCATCTGTTCAGTAGCTATGGTGTCACAGACAGAAACACGGATACACATAAACACAGATACACACTACATACATATAAGATTCTGTGTCGACTGAGTGCCTACCCACTAAACACCACCTGTGGGACTAGCTTTGGCCTGGAGGACTTTTCTGCCGTATCGGAGGCGACCCCCTTTAGGGAAAGGGGGCGCAGGCGGCGAGTAGCCGCTGAGAGGCGCGCCTAAGGCAAATTAAGAAGAGGGAGAAGATTCGGCCTGAGCCGCCAGGAGGCAGTCCAGGTCGGCCGAAAGCTTGTTGGGGGGGGGGGGGGAGGGGGTCCGAGAGAGAGTTTCTCGGACTGCGAATTCGATAGCGGGAGGGAAGTGGGGCTGCTTAGGAAACTGCCTCACGAATGAGATGATTTGGGTGAGACTCTGAGGCTTTGAAAAATTTCTCAGAGTGATTTTAGAAATTGTTGGATCTCTAAGTCTCGGTGAAGGTCAGCGTTACGGACGAACCAAGGAGCGTTCGTAGCCCGACGACAAAAAGAGTTTTGAACTAATTGAAGTTCGTTTAGGATTTTAGGCTTAGCGTGAGCAAAATTGGGGGCCGCATAAGACATAACTGGTCGTATACGGTCATAAGTTAACGTATAAGGTCTATATAGGGTTCACTTGTTTCGGAGAGACATTTTACTGTGTCGGCCCAGCGTGCTGTAGAGCCTACCCAGGTAAAAGGGCGCGGTGCGAGTTACTTTCTTAGCATGGGGCCTAAGTAATTGGCGGTAGTATGCCAGGGGACAGGGGTTCCTAACATATGGATTGGCGGAATGGTAGTGGGGCGGCGTCGTTTATCTTCGAAGTAAACGGCGGAGCTTGTCTCTGGGTTCACATCGATACGTCATTTTTGGAATTAAGCTCCTAAGTCACTAACTGACTGTTGGATTTTGTCCCGTATAAATGGTAGTGAGATACCTTTACAATAGAGGGCTGTGTCGTCTGCAAAGAGGGAGAGCTGAACACCATTCGACGGGATGGGAATGTCGTTGGTGAAGAGTATATATATAATAGGGGCAAGCACGGAGCCCTGAGGAACACCGGCTTTGATTTGACGCGGAGAGGAGAGCGTGCCGTCGTGTCTGAAACGAGAGGTACGATCCTTTAAGTAGGAGGCCACGAGACGAACAAAACGACTTAGCTATATCGAAAAAGACTGCGATGGTCTTATGCCGACGAGGATAAAAAC